GTTTTAATTGATATAAACGATGTCGTATCAGTTAAAACAAATATGGAAAATAATCAAGAACTTTTTAACAGATTAAAAGAAGTTTTAATAGATTAAAACAAGACTTTTAACAGATTAAAAGATTATTTTAACAGATTAAATAAACCAGCAGTTTGGAAAATATTCTATATAAACAGAGTTGCTTAAACTTTTTAAAACACATCTTTTAGAAATCAATCAAGCAATCATAAGTGCTACTTTCAAGAGAGAATCGCGCTAGTTTTTTGAAGTTCATAGAAGTTCTTTCTTGAGGCAAAATTGCATTCTTTTGGAGAAGAAACACATACTGCAGAGCTGCATAAATCTGGTTTGAGCGTTCTAGTTTCTTCTATTTGTTTCTTTACTTTCTTTACTATATTGTGGGTGCCTGGAATTGTGGGCACTGGTTTCTGTAGCTGGAATTTGGCTGCAAGGTTGGTCAAGAACTGAAATTTGGTTCTTGGTGAAGGTTTAGGTGCAGGGACTAGAATTTGGTTCTTGGTGAAGGTTTAGGTGCAGGGACTGGAATTTTGGTTCTTGTGGTAGATTGAGTGTGGAATTAAAGTTGAAATCTGTAAAACGTTCAATCTAGTGGAACCCAGCTGGAATTTGGCTGGAAACTGGACGTAGCCCTGGGATTGGGTGAACCAGTATAAATCTTGGTTGTATTTTTCTAAACCTTTCTCTCTTTTAATTTTGTCACTGCTTTTACTTTGATTGCTTGCAGTGTGTGATTCAAGAACTGTTCAGAATTCTTAATCTTTGAAATAGATAATCTGTAAATTGTGAAAATCTTTCAAAGATCAATTCACCCCCCCTCTTGATCTCAGCCTACATTTCTAACAAAAATGTTCTTAACACTTTTGTAACAGGTTTTTAACTTATATGTTTTCGAAATAATCGATTGTTTTCATTAGAAGTGTTTTTGAAAACCTTCGCTAGTATTTTAACCGATGTAGAATTGAAATAATCGATTAAAATGACTTAAGTCATTTTGAAAAGTGTTTTGGTAGAATTTTAATCGATACAAACTTGAAATAATCGATTAAAATAACTTGAAGTATTTTGAAAGATGTTCTGTCAGTATTTTAATTGATACAAATGCGAAATAATTGATTAAAACAACTAAGAGATTTTTCCAGATCGTTTTAAATCAATTAAAACAAGTATGTTATCAGTTAAAATAACTTAGAAAGTTTTATGAAAACCTTTGACAGTATTTTAATCGATTAAAAGGTGAAATAATCGATTAAAACAATTTTAAGGATTTTTTACAAAGTGTTTTAATTGATATAAATGTTGTCGTATCAGTTAAAACAAATATGAAAAATGATCAAGAACATTTTAATAGATTAAAAGAAGTTTTAACAGATTAATTCAAGACTTTTAACAGATTAAAAGATTGTTTTAATAGATTGATTAAACTAGCAGTTTGAAAAATCCTCTATATAAACAGGATTGCTTGAGTGTTTTTAAACACATCTTTTAGCAATCAATCAAGCAAACATAAGTGCTACTTTCAAGAGAGATTTGCGCACATTTTGTGAAGTTTTATGGAGCTCTTTCTTGAGGCAAATTTTGCATTCTTTTTGTGAAGAAACTCATTCTGCAGAGTTGCATAAATCTGGTTTGAGCGTTCTAGTTTCTTCTCATTGATTCTTTACTGTATTGTGGATGCCTGGAATTGTGGGCACTGGTTTCTGTCGCTGGAATTTGGCTGCAGGGTAGGTCAAGAACTGGAAGGTGGTTCTTGGTGAAGGTTTAGGTGCAAGGACTAGAATTTTGGTTCTTGTGGTAGATTGGGTGTGTGATTGAAATTGTAATCTGTAAAACATTCAATCTAGTGGAACTCAGCTGGAATTTGGCTGGAAACTGGACGTAGCCCTGGGATTGGGTGAACCAGTATAAATCTTGGTTGTATCTTTCTAAACCTTTCTCTCTTTAATTCTGTCACTGCCTTTACTTTGATTGTTTGCTTTGTTTGATTCAAGAATTGATCAGAAATCTTAATCTTTGAAATAGATAATCTGTAATTTGCGAAAATCCTTCAAAGATCAATTCACCCCCCTCTTGATCTCAACCTCCTTTTCTAACATTACCTACGGACTAGCAAAATCCGTCAATAAATTTTACCAACAACACAAAATTTGACGGATTTATGACTGTCAATAATCCATTGGTAATATGTATTTACCAATAGATTTTCTTATTTACCGATGACTTTTCTCCATCGAAAAATTCAATTTGTCTTGCAGTGTTAGTTTTACCTCATATAATCGCTCTGTTATATCATTTATTTTTCAAAAAATAAAAATAAAAAACATGTTTTTCAAAAATTGTTATTTTTATATTAAAATTACAAAAATTGAAGAAAAGTTAATTATATTATTAGTATTTACATTATATATTTTTTTATGTTCAGATTTGGTAGTTGTAAGAGCAGAAGCCACTCCATACATGTATAAGAGATTAGAAATGCGTT